TACACATCAATAGCACACCTAAAAAAGCAAACTAGTGACAGAAAAATAAACCAAAGAGAGTATTTTATTAACAAGTTAAAGTTCCAAGTACCCAAAATAAACAAACGGCTAAACAAAACAAACAACAACAGAAATGGCCAGAGAATCAGATTTAGCACTAAAATTGATAATTTAATCAATACATCTACTACAACAAGAAGCTAATTCTCACTCAATACACTTCATATTACCCATAAAAACATACTGATAAATAAATAAATAAATATATATATATATACTCAATTTTTGATGAAAAAGAAACTTGAATTCTTGAGGGGTGAAGTGTTGGTTGACTAAAATAGAAACCAAATACGCCCTAGAATTTAGAAATTCAAGTGATCAAAGGAAAGAAAGAACCAAGCTATTAGTGAAGGATTCCATCTATAAAACAAGGCTAAATGGTTATGCAAAGAGCAGCTAGTTGATCTAGATGAGTACTCTAACACCAACTTAAGAAACAAGGAAGACTTGTCATCTAATAACCTTGCTGGACTATCAAACTCTGTCACTTGACCTGCAAAACTAAGTTTCATGAGCTTTCTGTTGGTGTGTGTAGCAGAAACACAACATAGACTAAAATTTCACTGGGAATTAAATGATAAAAAACTGAGAAATTGTTCTAAAACAAATTCCAAAATATTAGACTCAAGTTTTGATGTTCTATAAGAAAGATTACCAGTTAGTTAAAACTTGGCATCAATGGATTCCAAATCTAATAAATTCTGGGTATTTCAAATGCATAAATTCATAGAAGTGAAAAGCGAAAAGAAAAATGAAAATAGAACTGTAATGGAATATGGCCTATAAGTGACTTTGATACTTAGATACTTCAGAGAGAGATGAAAATAAAAATAAAGATCAACTGTACAAACAACCTTGGAGTTGTAGAAACATTATGTTAATAAATTTGATGGGACAAGTCACAAGAGGATCAAGAAGCAACAGCCTTCATTCTAGGAGTGAAAGAACAAGAAATCATAAACATGTAATTATAACACATGAGATACAAAATGAAAGTAAGTGTTTGCGAAGCCAAGGAACAAAGGGCATTTAATCTAAAAAATAACAGAATATGTCAATCTAGCAACCAACCAAGATTTTATACTTTCTTAAAAACGATAAGATTCTTTGAAAAACAAACCCTGAAGAAAGAGAAGATATATAGAAGTCCCTCACTTCATGTTGAAGGTTTAATGCAGCTCGGATTGTTACCATTGAAACCCTCCTTGATATTATAATTGCAATAAATAAATAAATAAAAACAAACTTTTATAAAATCACTGAAGTTTATGAAATAAAATAAAAATAAAACCATCAGTTGAACTGGATGATTCATGGTCAGTTTTTACAAAGCCAATAGATGTTTCTTCTTGTAATCGTACTATAAACTCTGAGTTGACCTCTAAAAGTCAAGAAATATCCCAGTTTCGGAAGAAACAAATTATAGCTAAACAAAAATAGACAAGTACTTGTTGCATGAAATCGGTTTTTGACCTGAGAGTGTGAGTAAGAAACACTTTCTCAATAGCAGGTTCATTTTGCAAAGCAGAATTGCCCAATCCTCAATTTATTTGTTGGGACAGGACGCCCCGCAAAGAACAATATTCCCATGTGACTCTGCAACCTAGACATACAATCATCAATTTTTTTAAGAGACAATATATTACCAAAAATATAACAAAACATACAAGTCCAGGAAAATAATCAAATTCACTTCAACAATTACATATGCACTTCATTTCCACATTCAAGTGAAGGGAGACTAAAATAATGTTTACAAGACTTTTCTACCTAACACAACAGAACTAGACTCCACTAACTTCCTTTCTATCTATTTTTTAGCTCTGAGCTCTCCGCTTTTCTTTAGTTTACACAACACACCACATCTTAATTTATGACTTTATTTTTTATTTTTACCCACATGTAGAACTTGTACACATTACGAAAACTTGAAATTTTTCCTCTTGGTCTTCAATTGTAACATTACTTCCCAAAAATAATCTTTCTAGAAATTAAAAAAAAAAAACAGAAATCAATGTAATCTGAATATTTCAACACAAAACATGGAGATTTAACCAAGCAATTTAACACTAGAAGGCACTACATATATACATACATATATAAAAGCCATCTAAAAGAGACTCGCTTAGGCACTAAAAGGTCAGAATTCTTCACTGAAATTTCTAAGTTTACAAGGTTTTCACTTCTTCCTTTAGAGCATTGCATAAAAGCCACCAAAATCACCCTTTTTTGCTACCTTTTTCTACTGCATAGAAGAACTACCATCTCTCTTTTTTTTTAGTTTGCTAGCTTACAGGTCACACACAACCCTCTTTTCTCATGTTTTCTACAAACAGATCCCTGTATCTAGTAAAATTACCCACTACAGGACATACATGCATTAACAATTTCTAAACAAAGGGTTATTATAAAAAATTAATAAAAGTAATTAGTTGTGGCTCATGTAATTATTGGTTACATAATTATAAAATTATCTCATTTCCTATATGTCAATAATGGGCAACTGATACAAAAGGTTATAAGAATAGAGAAATTCCATAGCTCAAATCTTTAGTATTCTTTTATCACCATAAATGAGAAATAACCTGATATGTAGATTGCAATTTTAAATTACCAAAAATCAAGGCAATAGGATATTAAATTCTAATTCTATTTACATGGGAAACAAATTCAAAGATCCAAAGAACAATAAATCAATACAGATTAACAAGTCAAACAATCCTAAACTTTACAATGGTTGACAACATGAAAGATAGAACAGCATGAAGTTTTCAGTGTGGAAAGCCACTAAACTGGCTTTTTTGTAAAATCTCATATAGAAGATGGGGACAAGAGTTTGAGACAGAAGATCCCAACCCATGTATGAGTCATAAGCATATAATGAAGCAAAACACAGACTCATTTGGCATTACTAATATGATACAATTTCTGAGATTTTGTTAAAGTTTGATCTCTTATAACGTTTACATATCATTGGCCTTATAACAAGAAAATTTCTAGTTTTCCAATTAATTATTCCCAAGGATAAAATATTTCTGGTTTAACAAGTATATTTCTAGTTTTCCACAAACATCAGTAGAAAAATGCAATAGAAATGATGGCATTCTTAAAAAGCTCACCTAAATGTGTCTCATGAAATGTGTCTTATGTGAATAATAGCATTCAATAGATTGGGCACAAAAAAAGTTCAAAACAAAAATTCATGAAATAAGAATAATAGAATTATACAAATGCAGAAAAATCAACCAATTCACAGACCTCATCGCAGGGAGGACTAATATGGTAAATGCAGAAGTTGTGGAGCAGCAAAGAAGCTGCTTCAGGACAAAAAAAAAATCCTTGGAAACAAGACATATCTGCTAAAAAAGTTGAAAAATCAAGTGATAAACTTTAATAGATTGCAAAGCCAAAAAACAAAACAAGCAAAAACAATGGTGTAAAAACATAGAGATTAAGGAAAGAGAGAAAATTTGAATTTAAAACATAAGACATGAAAAGGAATAAATCTATCACTTCTGATTTAGAGCCAAATCAGGATAGGTAACCAGAGCTGGCTTGTCTTGCTGTATGATTGAGAGTTTTTACCAATAATAAGAAGGAATCAGAAGAAACAACAAAGAAGTGAGTACAAATAAAACTCGAAACCTCAGTTCAAATATGATAGGAAGAAGAAGAAATTTTTTTTAAAACAATGGTCCTATTAGCTAATCAATCAATGATTGACACCCCATTTGATTATTGATAAACAAGAGTTGAGAAAACAACTTTATATTAAAAAAATTCACTTATACTCAGACAATGCCAACCATTTGTCCAAGCCAAGCTCATTTTTTCATCATTCAGAAACCAATAACACATAGAACACAGTATCAAATCAAGGTTCAAGTAGCATAAATCCCTTATTATCAATCATCTATCCAAAGCACCAAACAACTAACCTAGAATTTAAAATTGGATCATCTATACACAACTATGAACATACTTAACATCATTTTGTTATTAACATGAATGGATACAGAGAGAAGTAAATCGAACTTTAGCAGTAAAGTTTACCTTGCAGAAGAAATGGTGGCAACACTAGTTTGGCCTACTGAGTGTACAAAAGATGCTAGGGTTTCAGCTTGAATTTCAATTGAATGTTTACCGCAAAACTTAGAACTTTAACTCAAACTCTACAAACCTAATAATAATCATAATCATAAATATATACACACAAAAGGGGCATAAAAAAACAGAGAACTCACCAGAAATTTCAAGAGGTTTTTAATTTCAAAAGACAAGTTTGAGTAACTTCAATGGTGGCTCGGAGCTATGAGTAACTTCAATGGTGGTTCGGAGCTGTGATGAAGAAAACGAAATAAGGCTTCGTTTCAGAAACAAAAGGCAAGGAGAAGGAGAAGGAGAAGGAGAAGAGACCTGTGTGTTTGTGAAGTATAATCTTGCTGGGAATGGAAGAGTCGTCCTCTCATTCATGGGTAGAATAAAGGCCCGAATTTGTGTATAGCATATTTTATATAAAAATCAAATCGAAATGTTTTATACAATCACACTATTTAGAGATTCTGATTAAATATATAATCACACTTATTTAAAAAGTGTGATTAAAAATAAATATTATTGTAGTAGTGTATATATAATCACACTTTAATTAGAAGGTGTGATTAAAATATATATATATATAATCACACTTTAATTACAAGTGTGATTAAAATATATATATAATCACACTTAATTAAAAAGTGACATAAAAAATAAATATTATCACACTCAATCTAATTAAGTGTGATTAAAATATCAATCTAATTTTTTTATCACTCTTCTAATAAAAGTGAGATAGTTTTTTTGGTCAAAATGTGATCTTTAACTATTTTTGTAGTAGTGCCTAATTGTCCCTTCAATCACAAAGCCTACTACTGCTAACAAACACCCAAAACAAGAAAATGGCTGAATATGCGGTGCTCCATCTACTAGCCAACCTTGCACCCTTCCTTCAAGGAGAGGTGAATTTGTTGTGCGGAGTTTGGGAAGCAATGAAAGACATCAAAGATGAATTCGAGCGCATGTCGGCTTTCCTTAGAGTTGCTGATGCTAAGGAAGAAAGTGACCCTGAACTCAAAGTTTGGGTCAAACAAGTTCGAGATGCTGCTTATGACACTGAAGATGTTCTTGACAAATTCAAGCTTCACCTTGCACATCATCACGGTGATGGATTCGGTGGTTTTCTTTGCAAGGTTTTCTACTTTGCCAAGTCTAATAGCACGCCACCAAATTGCTTCTGAAATACAAGGACTCAAGTCCAAGGTCATCAATATTTCCGAGGGACATAAAAGATACCATGATAAATATGGTATACTAGAGCAAGGCTCAAGGTCCAATGTTGTTTACAATTCATGGTATGATTATCGTGACAATGCACTTCTACTCGAAGAAGCAAAGCTAGTTGGCATCGAAAAGCCCAAAAGACAACTGATGGAGTGGCTAGTCGAGGGAGGTTCTGGGTTGAAAGCGGTTTCTGTGGTGGGAATGGGGGGCTTAGGCAAAACCACCCTGGTTAAAAAAGTCTATGATGATGCAAAGGTGAAGAAACATTTTAAGATCCATGCTTGGCTCACTGTTTCCGAGTCATTCAGGGTTGACGATCTCCTGAAGGACATGATTCAACAACTCTTTAAAGAAATCATGCAACCATTCCCTGTTGGAGTTAAAACTATGAGCATTGACAGGTTGAAATATCTGGTAAATAATTTTCTGCAACAAAATAGATACGTGGTTGTTTTCGATGATGTTTGAAATGTTAAAGATTGGAAGGCTATCAAACACATGCTGCCTAACAAAAATTGTGGTAGCCGTGTCATTCTCACAACTCATTTCGCCAATATAGCTTCTACATGTTGTGAAGAAACTGATGGTAATGTTTATACATTGATGTTGTTGTCCCCAGAGGAGTCTTGGAAGCTGTTTTACAACAAGACTTTTCGGGGAAACTTATGCCCTTCATACTTGAAGAAAATTTCTCTTCAAATCTTAGAAAGATGCGAGGGATTGCCGCTTGCAATTTTAGCGATAAGTGGTGTTTTGCCTACAAAGGACATGAGCAAAATAGACGAATGGGAAATGCTTTATCACAACCTTGGTGCTGAATTAGAGGGCAATGACAAACTAGAGAGTATGAAAAAAGCGCTCTCTCTTAGTTACAGTGATCTACCTTATTATCTGAAGATTTGTTTCTTGTACTTGAGCATTTTCCCGGAGGATAAACAAATAATATAGTGCGGAAAAGTAATTCAACTTTGGGTAGCAAAAGGATTTGTGAATGCTATTAAGGGGAAGACAATAAAAGAAGTTGCAAAAGGCTACCTCAATGAGCTATTCAATAGGAGCTTGATTCAAGTGGCAGAGAGATATCTAGATGGAAGGCCTTCTGGTTTCCACATTCACGACCTGATGCGTGAAATTATTGTTTCAAAGGCAAGAGAGCAAAACAATGTAACAACAATTTGCAAACAGGGCTCAAGGAGGCCGGAGAAGGTCCGCCGCCTATTGATCCGAAGCACCTCGGATAATGTGGAATATATCGAGCATTCTTCTCGACTCCATTCTCTGTTTGTGTGGGGGCCGATGGATTCATTACCTATTGCATCATTGTGTGAGTTGTTTAGACGTGGTTCGAGGCTGCTAAATGTGTTAGATTTGAAAGGTACTCCATAAAAGACTATACCAAATGAAGTTTTTAAACTAATCCATCTCAGGTACCTTGGCTTGAATAATACAAAAGTGAAGATGGTCCCAAAGTTGATTAGGAAGCTTGAGAACTTGGAGACCTTAAATCTAGCAAGAACCTATGTAACTGAGCTACCTGATGAAATCCTACAGCTTCAGAAATTGCACAATCTCATATTATATCATTTGAAATCAAGAACCGTTTATTTGAAATTTGGAGACTGTAATGGCTTCAAAGCTCCATCTCAGATAGGAAGGTTGCAATATCTACAAGTGTTGTGGAAGATAGAGGCAGACCAAAGAAGTGAAGGTGGGATTAGTATAGTGAAAGAGCTGGGAAGGCTAACCCAACTAAGGGAGTTATCTATTGGAAATTTAAGAAGAGAATATGGGGTGACTCTGTGCTCTTCCATTAAGAAGCTCAGCAATTTTCGCATATTATATGTAATTTCAACGCAAGAGGATGAGATCCTTGATCTGCAATGGATACCTTCTCTCTACGGCCTTGGATGGACGTTTGGAGAAGTTTCCGCACTAGATACCTTCTCTCTGCGGCCTTGTCAATTTACAGTTAAGGTGGAGCAAGTTAAGGGATGATCCTTTACAATCCCTACAAGAATTACCCAATTTGGCTAAGCTTATACTTGAACAAGCATACGAAGGTAAGGTATTGTATTTCCAGGCCAGAGGGTTTCAGAGGCTTCAATTTTTACATCTTTATAGATTGAAAGGATTGAGATGGGTGAGAGTGGCGAAGGGACCAATGCCCCACCTTGAAACTCTAATGATCAGAAAGAGTGAATTGATAGAGGAGGTCCCCTCAGGCATCGAACATCTAACCCACCTCAAAACGTTTGAGCTTAGTGATATGTCTGAGAAAATGATTTCTAAGTTAAATCGAGAAGTACAAGATGGGGATTATTGGAAAGAGAAAAGTTAGGGATCATGAAAATTTTTTCATGAAAATAATCATGAAAAATTTATGATCTTTGGATTACCTTAATTAGTATGTGGTGCTTTATTTTAAATGTAATCCAAGGGTCACAAAGCTTTCATGATACCTAGCATTGCTGGGAAAGAGAAAATAGCGCACATTCCTCAAGTTAGAATTTGGTACTTAGAACCTGGTGAAAGTAAAATAAAGTTTCTATGAAGAGAGAGAAAGAGGAAGGTGAAGAGCTCTCTAAATTGGATCAGTATCATAATAAAAAAACTATTTTTTCCCCTTATTTTCATTTTTATTACATATTCTAATGATGATTTATTTTCTTCTTGATCTAGATGATAATTGGTAAGAGTAATTGATTGCACTTTATTTTTACTTATTTAGTTCCTATTTGTTTGCAGTGGTCACTCTAAACTTTTATTCCAAGGTAGACTTTCAAAAATTTAAACTTTATGAATCTTTTAATTTAGACTTTTTAAAACACACAAAAAAAAATCTAATTAATTGATATAATTGTTTCAAAAATTAAAATGTGGATAGAAAAACTTTTATATAATTATATTTTGTATTTATCACTAGTATGATAAAATGAGATGTTTTTTCTTGTAAAGTCTAATTTCTTTATAGTTAATTTGTACAGTAAGTTATAAAATAAAATTTTGATTGTTCAATGAATTAGGAACAAAAATAGGCATAAGATTTGAGATAAGAAATAAAATACATATATAAAAAAAAAGATTAATTACACTTTTCGTCTCTCTACTTTGATCCAAATTTTACTTTAGTCTCTATAATTTTAATTTGAACAATTTAGTTCCTATACTTTAAGTCAAGTTTCAATTTGGTTTTTTGTTAATTTTGTCTACGTCTACACCTTAGAAATTTGACAAGTGTCCAAAAATTGTTAGTTTTAACTTTCAATTTAGATGAAAAATCCAAATTGAAACCTTAGAAATTAACAAGTGCCTAAAATTTTTAATTGAAGTGTATAGACTAGACTTAAAGTGCCAAAAAACAATTAATTGAAATTTGACAAGTGCCAAAAAAAACTAGACTTAAAGTGTATAGACTAAATTCTGAAAATCAAAATTATAGGTACTAAAGTGAAATTTAAGTCGAACTACATGTGTAAAAAGTGTAATTAACCCTATATTTTATATTGAATTATTGTCTAAAAATTTATATGGGATTTTTGGTTAAACCCCCTTTTTTGGGCCTTTTTTTAAGATAAAGGACAACTCAATGAATTCCCTTTCAAAAAGCACCTAAGTAAGAGAAGCCCAGCTCAATAAAAACATTCTATAATTTGTTTTTGTTTTTTTGACTATATTGCCCTCATATATATATATATATATCATATATTTGAACAATCTCAGCTCATGCATACACCAATCTTAAAGACGATTTGCGAAATGAAGATGATCTGCGAAATTCATGAAGACAATCTCAAAGTCTGAAGATCTCACCACCGACGATCTCACCCTTGGTCAACAATACACGATCTCGCCATCCAAGATCAACACTCTCAACACCCTTGGTCAACAATACACGATCTCGCCATCCAAGATCAACACTCTCAATTAAATGAGAGATTACGTTGCAAAGCTGTATAAATCTGTGGTTATTTTTGATTTGTTTTTGTTGATTTGCCGAGTTCAATCAAGTGTCTGCTCTATTTTTGTTTGATATAATGAAAGTAAAATTTTACTCTGGTTTGTGCTGTGTTTTTGTTTGACAGAATAAGAGTAAAATTTTACTCTAGTTTGTGCTCTGTTTTTGTTTGACAGAATGAGAGTAAAATTTTACTCTAATATGTGCTCTGTTTTTGTTTGATAAAATTAGAGTAAAATTTTACTCTGATGTTATCTGTTCTGTTTTCTTAACATGCAAGTAAAATTTTATTTTATTTCAGAGTAAAATTTTACTGTATTTTAGAGTAAAATTTACTCTGAATTGAAAGTAAAATTTTACTGTGTTGTTGAATGTTTGTCTATGTAGTTTTTGATTTGTTTTCTGGTAAAATTTACTCTGAATCGTCAGAGTAAAGTCAAGTAAAATTTTACTTTATTTCAGAGTAAAATTTTACTGTATTTCAGAGTAAAATTTACTTTGAATTAAAAGTAACATTTTACTGTGTTGTTGAATGTTTGTCTATGCGGTTTCTGATTTGTCTTCTAGTAAATTTTATTGTATTTCAAAGTAAAATTTACTCTGAATCTTAAAGTAAAATTTTACTGTGTTGATGAATGTTTGTCTATGCATAAAAGAATAAACTTTATTTTTCATTAACCGGAGTAAAATTTTACTGTTGCGAAAACAGAGTACATACTAGATAAATGAATTATAGTCGAATTTTACTTTAGATCTATGAACAAACAAACAAAAAAACTCTCGATTTTTTATTGTAATATATCAATTTATCATTTTCTTGACATATATGAGGTCATTTTTATCTCAGATATGAAATTATTAATCTCAAACATGAGTTCATAGGCATCAAATCTGAGATGGTAATGGATTTCAATGGACGATTTCAAGATTTCGATTTTGTGAGGTGGATCGAAAATGGAGATCAAAAGGGTTTAGGGTTTAGAAAGAGAGAAAATAAAGGGAAGAGAGAGGATACCAGTAATGTAGAGATAGAAAAGAAGAGAAATGGTTCAACGAGGGTTTTGGATTATATGGAAGGGCATTTCAGCCTTTTCATTATATTTTTTTTATTTGAGGGACTTTTGAAACTATTATTTTATTCAGTGGGCTTCACACAAAAAAGCCTCCATAGAAGGGGCTTGTCATCAAAAATCCCACTTTATATATACTAGTGAGAATAAATAAAAACAAAGAAGAATATGTATATATAAACAAAACCATACATATATATAAATTCCACTTTGTCTTTTTATGTTTGGTCATTTTCTCAGTTTGGCCCTTGAAGTTTGGTTTTTCCACTTTGGTCCTTTATATTTCAAATTTTTCTCAATTTATTCCTAAAGCTAATTTCTACTCAAAACTAGATAGAAAATGTCATGTTAACTGGCACATAAAATAAAAAATACATTATTATATTAATATTTGAATTTGTGTTAAAGGTGAATTATATATAATAAAATATTTTTATATTACATGACTATCAATATATCATTTTTTGACTAATTTTGAATATAATTTAACTTTTAAAATAAATTAGAAAAAACTAAAAATATGAAGAGTCAAATTGGAAAAAAAATAAATTTTAAGGGCCAAAATGAATCAACTAACTAAAAAATTAAATTATACTTTCACTCCTGCACTTTGCATCAAATCTCACTTTGGCCTTATACATGAAATCATGACAATCAATCCCTATACTTTTGGTCAAATCCTACTTTGGTCCCTACACATGAAATCATGACAATCAATCCCCTCTACTTTTGGTCCAATCTCACTTTGGTCTTTATACAAGTGTCGATGTTCCCGTTCTGTTACTCAATTATTTAAATCTTTAACAAAATCTAATCTTGTGATAAGAATGTAACTACAACATGAGAATAAGAAAGGGAAATCAAAAAAAACTTAAGTCAAATTTTCTTATTCTAAACAGCTATTAAAAAAAAGTTTTACAAATAAAAATATATCAAATAAATCAATTTTTTGAAAGCTTATTTTTAACCAATAAACTATTTTCCTTTTTTGACTAACTCCCAAAGATGTCTTATATCAAAACAAAAAATATTTTGATCTTAAATTTTTTGTGACCGCATGAAGTATCAATTTTAGAAGAGTTAATTACTTAGAAGTCTTATTTACAAATGTTATGGTAGCTCAGGTACTATCTAAGATTTTTTTAACCAATAAGTACGATTTAGTAAAACTGAGAATATTATCCGTTTTTTCCAATTTTTAAAACTAAGAATATTAGTCTCAATTTTGCATAGTAATGTTACAGATAATTATTTCACTAACTAATGAAAAAAAACAAAGCATGAGATTAAACGTTTTTGCCTTTCTACATATTAGTTTGATTCAACTATCCAATAAAATCGAGAACATTTTAAATTTTTTC